TTTTTTTTTTGAAAAAAAAAACGAAACGTGACACGGTCATCTCTCTGCACAGAGTATCCATACAAATTTGTAAAGGTGCTGAAGTCCCAGCAACTCGTAGAAAAGGAAACGTTGACATTGGTCTGCGAGTTGGATGATGAGGGTGGTGAAGTTAAATGGTTCAAAGGTGATCAAGAGATTGTACCTGACAAGAGGTAATGCACGAATTTCATATGCACTTGATCCTTTAATTCCTTCAGTAGTGAATTTTGTTTCAATATGTACCGATAAATATTTTTCACTATTTTATTAATATAAACTTTATATTATTTGTATGTACCTCATTTGTTCTTTTTACTGCGCTGCTTTAGTAATTATATCAAAATTGAAATATATAATTTGAATACAGTTTTCTTATATAACATAAAAGTTAAAAAATGCAAATACAATGATGTGCAGGGTACAAATCAAAGAAGATGGCAGAAAGAGGAAGCTCATCATTAAAGACGTGAAAGTTACAGATGCCGGTCAATACTCGTGCGTGAGCAATGCCGACAAGACTGAAGCCGAAATAGTCGTAAATTGTAAGTTCATTTAGTTAGGTTCATGTATAAAATCTATCAACCCTGAGACAGTGAAGAGTTAGTATTTCACTTAATATTTTTTTTCTACCTAGCACAAAATAAATTTTTATATTAGATTCTTTTATTTCAATATTTCAGCTTTGAGGGTTGCTCTAGTAGATAATGATTTAAGGGAAAGTTTTATATTTTTATTTTTCTTGCTTTGATTTTTATTTTATTGTGTTTTTTTTTTTATTCTTACATTGAATGTTTTAGCTTTTCAAGTACTTAATAATTGACTATAAAGACACATTTATAAATATTAGTATTACATTTATTTTATAATTATACAGTTATTCTTCTCCGGTACTCAGAAATTAGAATAACTTAATAACTAGAAAAATCAAATTCCTCAGACGCGAACCGATTCAACAAGAAGTTGAAAGACACGGTGGCAGTGGAAAGAGAAAAATTGGTACTGGATGTGGAACTTCAAGACCAGACCGCACCTGCCGTCTTCTTGTTCAATGGGAAACCGATCGAACCTAACGAAAGGATCGAAATTAAGAATTTGGGCGGTGGTAAACATCAGCTGGTCTTCAACAGATTAGAAATGAGCGACGACGGTGAAATTACTTGCGAGAGCGGACAATTGACAAGCAGCTGTAAACTCACGGTGAACAAAGGAGAGAGTAAACCAATCGCTGAAATTCCCGATAAAGTCGAAGGTCCTTCTAATCAACCACTCGTATTCGTTGTCCCATACAAGAGTAAGTGTCGTTTTTCTTCTTTCTGTGAACAGATTTAACTTTTTTGACATTTAAACATATGAATGAAGCAATACGATAACATTCACTGAAGTTTGAAGGAATATAGAGTAATCGCATAGATTGTGAATTTTTATACATTTACGCAAAAATTCAAAGATTTAATAACGCGCAGAATGCAAATATATAAAATGTCTAAAATATATATAATACTCGCTATAATATTATTGGGTGAAATAGATCTTCACTTGAGATTAATTTCTGTAATTATAATCAAACATTTTATATTTTATATAATTTAACATTTTGATTAACATTTAATGTTTTCAATTGTGATAAAAGTAATTGCTCGAGCACATTGGAAAAAAATAATCATTGTAGAATGAAATTTTTTAAATCACACAATATATTGTGATTAAAAAATATGATAAAGGTTCTTCTAGAATGAAGTTCATTTCTTCTAAATGGTAAATTTCTTATTGAAAAATTCAGAATAGCTGTTAACTGTTTCATTTGTTATTATCGTATCACTTTCATGTTCAATATCTTATTTTCTCCCAAAATATAATATTTAAACAAATTGATTGATATTACATAAATTGAACATTTTTGAGAAGGAAGAAAATACTTTCAAATTTAAAGCTTATGTATATAATAATTTTATAAAATGATATTCTGAATGATAAGAATTTCAAATCTATCGTCTTCTAAGAATATTATTCTCGTTTATACAGTCGAAGGAACGAAACAGAGCCAGGTAGAAGCTAAACTGTTGAAAGACGGCAAAGCATTACCATTGAAGGAAGTAGAAATCGTTGTTGGTGAAGACAAAATCACGTTCAAGATCAAGAAACCTTCTCATGATCAGTCTGGTATTTATCAAGTGAAGATTAGTAACAACCAAGGAGAGGAAGTCAAAGATGTGAATATCAACATGCAAGGTAAATTAATCGATAATTGTTATTCTTGCACTGTTATTCAAACATGTTCTATTCGTTTCTCTCCTGATTTACATAAAAAAAAATTTATTTCTTCGACGGTTATCTTGAAAATTTTAAAATGTGATGTTACTTTGTTCTTTGTATTTATTGTAGTTTCTTGTTGTTTATTTGTTTAATTCAATCTTGTTCTTTATTTTCTTGACTTTAAATGTATGTTTCTTAATCACTTTGCATGTTCATAATTGTTGAAATTATTATTGTAATATTAAATCTTTGTAATTTGAAATTTCAAATGAGATAACAATTGTCAGTGATTTAAATAATTTTTTAATAATTATTCAGGTACGATATTCGTCTAATTTTTTGTAAGTATTCTTATACTTGTGAAGTGCAGATAATGGAGGTGTACATAACAGGTTTGTAGATCGATAATGGGAATACGTATGATTATGTCGTAGGAAGTTAATCCTAGTATCACAAACTTCGAAATCCATTCAAAAACTTTCGTATTCTCTACATAGTGCACTATACTATTGATTCGAAACTCTCAAAATCCAAGTAATTTATTATTTCTACAACTAAATATACGAAAATATTACGATATCATTGTACATAATAAAATGTGAATTCGTTTTTATCGAACTGAGTTTGTGTACAGATTGAAACTTATTGTAATCGTTCGTATATTGAGATTTGATTTTCTGAAAAAATTTAGAAAAAAGATAAATAATAAAGAATTATAAAAATAAGTATATCTATAATATATTACCTATAATATAAGTATACCTATTAATATAACTAGTATATATATATAATATACCTATAGCAATATAGTTATACTAGTATATTTAAAATATAACTAATGTAAAATTGAAAATAACTTCACTTCACTTCAGAAAAGGAAAAAATAAGCATGTTGGATTTCGAGAGTTTCAATTTTAGTTTATGTTTCATGAGCTCACAATGTTTCAATGTTTAAATTTCGAGAAATTTAAAAATCAAGTTTCGACTCATAATATATGTAATAGTTCTTTCACTCGCCTCGTTCCCGAACTCACAAATGATAACCACACCATTCATTGTAACTAACTTAATCGTACAAACCTCATTTAGATGTGCCGTCTCCACCTACGGACGTTGACGTCACCGAGGTCTTCCAAGACTCCTGCGTGGTGTCGTTCAAACCTTCAAAAGACGATGGTGGATCACCAATCACGAAATACGTGATCGAACGTCTCGATCTCAGCTTGAAGGCTCAATGGGACAACGTTGGCGAAATTATGCCGGGCGAGAAATGCGTTTACAAAGTGAAAGACCTTGTAGCGAAAAAAGAATACAAATTCCGTATCAGAGCTGTGAACAAACTTGGCTCCAGCGAGCCCGCGATGTTTGGAAAGCCAGTACTTGCGAAAGATCCATGGGGTATGTATGAAGTTATTGGTTTTGAAGTAAAATCAAGTGTACGAAGCTACGAATTTTATGGAAAGTATATATAAGTCATAAGTTGTATTAATTGTTAATTGATGTATAACTTAGTGTATGTATAACCTCCCCGATATTTTGTAAATTTGTCTCTTTTTTTTCTGTAAATTTGTGAATAGTCTGAATGACCATCGTAGCAGTCTAACGCAACTTCGATTTTGATGAAAGTATACTCAGTTTACAACACATTTTGTAATGAAAGTTGTGAAAATCAATTAAAATTTCTAGACATTTCTAGGAATGAAAATTCGTCAATAAAGAGAAATAATTTCTTCGACGCTACAATTTCTCGAAATTAGGATCTTTGGAAATTGGAATTTTTTTTTAAATCGAAACTTTTTGCAATTGAATCAAAATTTTTAGAAAATTCTTAGAAGAGAAAAGAGGAACGTTCAAGTAGAAATTAGGAAGGTTTAAAATCTTCAGAAATCGAAATGCTTTGAAACTTGAAATGTTTAAAAATTGAAATTGAAGATTTTAAAAATTAAATTAAATCTCTAGCAATTTAATCGAAATTAAAATTGAAATTAAAATTTCTTATTTCTTTAAATTAAATATTTCACTTGTGAAGATATTCTCGTGATGAAATGAAAGAAACATCCTTATTCCTGTCCAATAGACGAGCCAGGCAAACCCACAAACGTAGAAGTAGTGGATTGGGACAAAGATCACGCCGACTTAAAATGGGTGAAACCAGAAAGTGATGGTGGAGCACCAATCACAGGCTACATAATCGAATACAAAGAGAAATTCGGTAAAGAATGGGTGAAAGGCAAAGAAATCGAAGGAAACGTAACGGAAGCTACCATCGATGGTCTTAAAGAAGGCACCCAATACGAATTCAGAATCAGAGCTGTGAACAAAGCTGGACCTGGTGAACCGTCAGACGCTACGAAACCAATTATCGCCAAATGTCGATTCGTCAAACCGTATATCGAGGGTGATGGTTTGACTAATTTGGTCATCAAGAAAGGACAAGTGATCAAATATGATATTAAATACGCTGGTGAACCCGAACCGGAAGTCCATTGGTTCCTTGGAGAAAAAGAACTTGTTCAGGACGCAGCTGAAAGAATTACTATTGATAAGTACGAGAGGAACACGGTGTTGACTGTTAGAAAAACGACTAGACCAGATTCAGGCAAATACAAGCTGGTTTTGAGTAATAGCTCTGGAACCTGCGAGAGCATCGGCGACGTCGTTGTACTTGGTATAATTTTTGTTTCCTATCACTTTCCTCTGTTATGTTCTTCAATTTGTGAATCTCTACTGCATATTTGCAGACTGGAATATTTAAAAATTTTAGAATTCAGAATATTAGAGTATTAGAGATTTAGTGATTGAGTTGTTTGCTCTTTTCAATAGATGAAATAGATTGAAATTTTGGACCAATGAATTTTAATATACTGGAAATAAACTAAATATATGGGAAATTAGGTTCAATCAAATTTTAAAACGTTATATTATTAAATTATTGAAATAACTCTAAAAATACTAAATTTCGTTGTCAAACAAAATAATGAATTGTTCGAATTTTTATTATTTTTATTATTAGAATTTTAAAAATTAATTGAACTTATTATTTTTATTACTTTAATTATATTATTCCAAATTCAGAAAATTTTTTTTTTAAATCATCGAACTATTGATAAACCATACCTCTATACCACGAAAATATTTTATAAATGATTTCTCCTTCTTCCTCTCTTTAGACAAACCATCGAAACCAAGAGGTCCACTGAAAGTCGAAGAAGTCCGTGCAGACCACGTGAAGGTAAAATGGCAAAAACCGGAAGACAATGGTGGTACAGACATTACCGGTTATGTTTTGGAAAAAATGGACATGGACACTGGACGATGGATTCCTGCCGGCGAAGTGGGACCAAACGAAGACACATTTACCTTTAGTGGTCTAACTCCGAAGAAAAAATACAAATTCCGTGTGAAAGCTGTGAACAAGGAAGGCGAATCCGAGCCACTCGAAGTCGACGAGGCAATTCTTGCCAAGAATCCATATGGTAAATGAGATTATTAATAATTTGCGAAAGATCGAGAGGAAACATTCAATTAATATTTGCAGTATTTTAATCAAATTCTTTATCCTTGTTATTTCGATTTTTGTCAGACGAGCCCAGTAAACCTGGTAAACCAGAAATCTTCGATTACGATAACGTTAGCGTATCCTTGAAATGGACTAAACCTGAGAGCGATGGTGGTAGGCCAATCACTCACTATACCGTCGAGATGAAAGACAAATTCGCGGTGGATTGGGTGGAGGTGACGAAAACCACTGATGCCACTCCGGAAGCAAAGGTTGAGGGCCTGAAAGAGAAAATGGTTTATCAATTCCGAGTTCGTGCACACAACAAAGCAGGTCCAGGACAACCTAGCGAACCTACGGACAACCATCTCTGCAAACACAAGAACCGTAAGTTTACTTTTAATATATTTAAAATTATTTACGAAAATATCCCGCTGTTTATCGCGGAAAAATTTTTTTATTAGTTCACGATACTTAATATAAAAGAACTTTGTACGTATGAAAGTATTCAAACATTTATCACAGGAGAACTTTTATGTAGCACATGTTGCTCCTTTGCGAAGAAAAAAAAAGAAACCTCATTCAAACTTCATTTTTGAGTTATCGCTATAAAAATGTTGCAGAAATAATTATTCATTAATTATAAAAATCTCATTCATTGATCTTTATAATTTGACCGGTATATATGATTTCAGTTAAGCCAAGAATCGACAGAACCAACTTCAAATCCGTGATCATCAAGGCTGGACGAACGCACAAATGGTCTGTGGACATCATTGGAGAACCACCGCCAGAAGTTAAATGGGTCTGGAGAGATAATATCCCTCTAACTACCACGGAACGCATTAAGATCGAAAATGTCGATTATCATACAGACTTTACCATCGTGAACACGACGCGGAAAGATACTGGAAAATATACTCTCAAGGTGGAGAACGTTAATGGAAGTGACGAAGAGACTGTTGAACTTACAGTTCTTGGTAAATTTAAATTATTTCCAAAATTTAGTCATAGATGATTACAACTATCTGTTCACGTTCGTTGAACAACTAGCATATTCCACATTTTATTTTAAAATGTCAGACAATCTTACTTTTCGTGTATTTTTCGAATTCTCTAATTTTCTAATTTTCAATCAACAAGAAAATAAATAAATTTGAAACTTCTTTGGTTCGTGAATTGGCATAAAAATATTCAAAGACTTGGATTTTATAAGGACAAGAGTGAATAGAATTACTTTTGTTATCCAGGCAAACCGGAAGCACCAAAGGGTCCATTGGAAGTAACAGACATTACAGCAACCTCGGCAAAGGTGAAGTGGGAGAAACCAGAAGACGACGGCGGTGTCCCGATCAAAGAATACGAGATCGAAAGGTTGGACACGAAGACTGGCAAATGGGTGAGAGTGGGAAAAATTCCAGGCAATTCGCCGAATACAGAATTCGAGGTGACTGGATTAAATCCAGGCAGCGAATACAAATTCCGTGTAACTGCCATCAACGACGAAGGTGATTCCGAACCACTTGAAAGCGAACGTCCGATCATCGCTAGAAATCCATACGGTAAGTTTAAAGGCGGGATTTAAATCAAAGGAATATAAAGAAAATATAAATATAATTTTTACTATATACTTGTATAATGATATTTATCATGAACGTTTATATCTGAAATATTACTTTTGCTTCAACAAACGGAAAGGATATTAAGATTAATATTTTAACAATATGATTAGTATGAAAAATACAATGATTATTGTATTATATCACTACGATTTTTAACTAATGTAATATTAAAAGTAATACCAATTTTTTCGAATTGAACGAAATGAAATAACATTTCAAGAGACATAGAAATATTACATGTACAGTAGGAAAGATTATTGAACTTTAGAAGTCTTTCCAAAAATTGCTTTAAAGTTAAATCTAGTGAATCCTAATAAAATTCAAATCGATCGCCAAATTTCTCACCTCAGTCTCTACTGATGATTTTCAGACGCGGCAGCTAAACCTGGAACACCTGAGATAACCGATTACGACAATGAATCTGTAAGTTTGAAATGGACTCCCCCGCCTTCTGATGGTGGTGCACCAATTGAGAAATACATCATCGAGAAGAAAGATCGTTATAAACCAGACTGGGAAAAAGCGATCGAAGTACCTGGAAATCAATTGGAGGCTAAAGTGGGCAACCTGAAGGAACGAGGAGAATATCAGTTCAGGATTATTGCTGTGAACAAAGCTGGACCATCTCCGCCATCAGATGCTTCGAAGATGCAAATATGCAAGCACAAAGCCTGTAAGTACCTACAACCCATTTCTGTTCGATATTTTATTTCACGATAATTATATTTTTATTTATACTTATTCATTGTTATGCTTTGTATCATTAAAATAGATAACATGTATTAAACTTATATTTATTTAAATTCGATGAGCTTAAGAAAATAGTGTCGGGCATTATTAGGGGCATGAAAATACACTTAGTAATGAACGTGTCAATTAAATCTTTGTTTCTCTTGTTATAGTGAAACCAAGAATCGATCGCACAAACTTGAAGCCTATCACCGTAAAAGCTGGCAAGGCGATCAAATACGACGTGGACGTACGCGGTGAACCTCCTCCAGAGATCACCTGGTATCACCGTGATCAAGAAGTTAAAACCGGCGCAAATATCGAAATCATTAACGTCGATTACAACACAAAGCTCAATATTACCGATAGTGTGCGCAAGAACACTGGAGTATGGAAGATAAAGGCTGTAAACGCACACGGTGAAGACGAAGCCGAGGTCGAAATTACAATACTTTGTAAGTTCAACGATATTTATTCATAACAGAAATATCTGCTGCAGAAAAAAAACAGTGAAAATTAGTAAAAAATATTATACTAAAGATATGTCCAAAATTATCGATTAAGATTATTTTTTTTTAAATTTCTATCTATTTTTTTTTCTCCTAGTTTCAGCATTAATCCAAAGATTTGTTTAATATTTTTTCGTTATTCGTCTTCCACGTAGAATTGTAGGTTCTATAATTTTCTGAAATTTGAAAAAATTGAAGCATTTACAATAATAATATATATGAATAATTCACTACTATGACTCACAAAAAATATTTTGATCATTATTAATCAGTAATAAAAAATTTTATTTAAATCAATTGATTGCAGATTTCTATTCACTTATGAGAAGTTTGAATTTATAACATTCAATGATAATTTATATATCGATAATAATTTATTTTAGATTTTTAGATCTTTTTTTAACAGTATAATTACCAGAATCCAATTATGTTTCTTTAGAATTTGGCTTTGAAACATTTGAAATTTGACCTATCTAAATTTCTGTGATTGATAGCAGTAATCTTTTCCTGTGAGAAATAATAATAAACATCTATGTGACGTTTAATGTATTCCATCATAAACTTAACAGCGTCTCCTGGAAAACCGAAGGGTCCTTTGAAAGTGTCCGATGTAACGAAGAACGGTTGCAAATTGAAATGGGACAAGCCAGAAGATGATGGTGGAAAACCTTTGAGTGGGTATGTAGTGGAGAAACTCGACAAAGCCACCGGAAGATGGATCCCGGTTGGACGTACCTCCCCTGGAGAAACCGAGCTAGAAGTTAAAGGTCTCCAAGAAGGTCACGAATATGAATTCAGAGTCAAAGCAGTTAATGAAGAAGGCGAATCCGAACCACTGATCACTGAAAGCACGACCATTGCAAAGAATCCTTATGGTAAGATAACATTTTCCTTCCTCGCTTACCTTATAAAGACGCGAAATATGAACTTATATTTGCAAATGTTTCTCCGATTAATATATTATTTCACGTACTTCTGAATGGACAATGGAGTATGTAACATTCGAACAATTTTCAGACATAGCCAGTAAGCCTGGTGTACCAGAGTTCGAAGATTGGGACGTGGATCGTGTCGATTTGAAATGGGAACCACCGAAAAATACGGGAGGTGTAGCTATCACGGGTTACATAATCGAAATGAAAGAGAAACCATCGAACCAATGGGTAGAAGCTGTTACAACCGAATCACCACAACCAAAAGGACGCGTCACAGGCTTGAAAAAAGGCTCTATTTACCAATTCCGTGTACGTGCTGTTAACAAAGCTGGGCCATCCGAGCCGAGTGATCCAACGAAGCCACATGTTGCAAAGGCAAGATACTGTGAGTATCTTTTAGTACCTTTTATGTTAATATTATCACTGGACTGCAAGCTAACTGCACAATTAATTAATATTTTAGATAATTGTTTTACCTGTTAAATATTATAAAAGGGGTATTATTCTTTGGATATTTTGTACATTTTCGTATATTAAATATATGTCATGTGTACTTTCACTTCTCTAAATTTTCTAAAATCTCACTTACCTTATATCTTCAGTGAAGCCACACATCAACCGCGAGAAGCTACAAACGATCAAAGTAAGAGCAGGTCAAACGGTGAAACTAGAAGTCGACATCGAAGGTGAACCACCACCAACAGTCAGTTGGATCTTCGGTGGTGCAGAGCTCCAAACTGGAGCCAACGTGAAGATCGATAATGAAGATTATCTAACAAAGATTCAGTTGACTCAGACCAGTCGAAAACTCAGTGGCAAATACACCATCAAAGCCGTGAATACTTCTGGACAGGACGAGGCCGACGTTGAAATTGTAATTCTCGATAAGCCTGGGAAACCAGAGGGGCCTCTCGAAGTGACAGATATTCACAAGGAGGGATGCAAATTAAAATGGAACAAGCCAAGGGACGACGGTGGTTTACCTTTGTCTGGCTACTTGGTCGAGAAAATGGACACAACGACAGGTCGTTGGGTATCAGCTGGAATGGCCGATCCAGACAAGACAGAGTTAACTCTGACAGGTTTGGAGCCTGGCAAGAGATACGAGTTCCGTGTGAAAGCTGTGAACGAGGAAGGAGAGTCGGATCCTCTGCAGACGGATGTTCCTATCGTCGCTAAGAATCCTTACGGTAATATATACGAATTGTTTTGGAAATTTTTGTAAAAATATTGACTCTGCGTGTTGTTTCTTTTATTCTTTTGATATTGATGGATATTTAAGTCGTGAACACACATGGTGGACAAAGGGAGTTTAAAAGGCAAATGAAGGCGAGACAAAACATCTTGTTTGAAATTAGATAATTAATTTGTTTCCAATGAAACAAAATACATCATAACAATATTTAAACTTGTACTTTCAGACGTACCTGGTGCGCCTGGCCTACCAGAGATCATCGACTGGGCCGAGAACATGGTGAAACTCAAATGGGAGCCACCAATTCGAGATGGCGGGGCATCTATTACAGGATACATAATTGAAATGAAAGATAAGTTTGGTACTACCTACGTGAAAGCTGCAGAGATCGATAAACCAGTTTGTACGGGAACAGTGACTCGATTGGAGGAAGGAAATCAATATCAATTCAGAGTTCGAGCGGTGAATAAAGCCGGTCCTGGTGAACCTAGCGAAGCTACCAATCCTCACACTGCCAAAGCTCGTTGGTGTAAGTATTATCTTAATTTTAAATAGGCTGAAACTTCTTAGATAAAAGTCAACGCATTGTGCCATTATTTTAAGGATACATAAATTTTATTTTATTTTTTTTTTAATTGAACATTTAATTATAATTATAATAAAAATTCATAGAGAATCACTTAATAATTAATCAATAAGTCAACTAAGCACTGACGAAAATTTTATTACTGTTTTTTCTTGTTACAGTGAAACCATTCATCGATCGTACCAATTTGCAACAGATAACTGTGAAAGTTGGTCTCACCGTAACCTTGGATGTGAACATCATCGGTGAACCACCACCAAATGTGACGTGGTATTATAAAGAAAAAGAGCTTAAATCGGACGATACATTACGTATCGATAATATTGATTACAATACCAAATTCTTCATTCTGAAGACTAAGAGAGCTCATACCGGTACATATGTGATTAAAGCGAAGAACGAAGTTGGCGAGGACACCGCCGATGTCGAGATAATCGTCATTGGTAAACCAAGCAAACCAAAAGTACGTATTTCATTAAAATTATTTCGCATGTATTTTATTTTATAAAAATTATTTATTTAAATTAGCAGAGTAAATCGTGATCGAATAATAATAATTTAACTTTGAAGTATGAATATCTATTTGGAATGAATCACGATAACTTAATACTTCAATAAACAGTGTTGTAAAAATGAAGAAAATATTATAACTGTTTCTTACTTAAGGTTGATTATAAGAGTGTAGCCATTCGAAAACAGTAGATTAAAAAAATTAAGAGGAAATCATGCTCTCATACTAAAAATTATGAAACTTGTAAACCAACTAAGAAAATGAAAAAAATTGAAACATTATTTTACTTTACAGGGTCCTCTAGAAATCTCCGACGTGAACAAACACGGTTGCAAATTGAAATGGGAGAAACCCGATGACGACGGTGGTGTGCCAATCGAATACTACGAGATCGAGAAATTGGATCCTCTTACCAGGCAATGGATTCCTTGCGCGAAGTCCGTGGAGCCGGAAGCCACTGTTACCGGGCTCCAAGAAGGCAAATCGTACAAATTCCGCGTGAAGGCGGTAAATCGCGAAGGTGAATCCGACGATTTGGAAGCGGATAAATCTATCATAGCTAAAAATCCATTCGACGAGCCAGGCAAACCTGGTCGTCCAGAGCTGAAAAATTGGGACAAAGACTTCGTTGATCTCGAATGGACGCCACCTAAGGACGACGGTGGTGCTCCAATTGAGAAATATATCGTGCAGATGAGAGACAAAGAAGGACGTCAATGGATAGACGTTGCTAAGGTTCTTGGAGATCGTACTGTTGCCAAGGTCACCGATGGCATCGAAGAGGGTCACGAATATGAGTTCAGAGTGGTGGCTGTTAATAGAGCAGGACCTGGTGAACCCAGCGACACATCGAAGAGCGTTGTGGCCAAACCGCGATTCTGTAAGTGAATACGTTATGTATGAATTATTTTATGACATACAAGTAAGTAATCAATTTTGGAAATTGACTGAGTATCTGAAATTGATGAAAAAAAGTTTATAAATTTCAAATATTATCAACTTAATACTAACGAATGAAGTTCGTAAAAATATTTGTTACTATTTAGTTATTACTTAGTACCTAATTTAAGTTCAGTAAAAGTAAAATTAGCGAGTTCTGAGAAAATATTTTTATACATTTTTTTCTTTTTTTAAACTAGAAAATAGATAGGATCAGAAAATCGTGAAATTTATTATACAATTGTCAAAATTGCACATCAGTTTTCAACATATCCAAGGAATATTCAACGCGTTAATATTAGATTTACATTTTGATGTTTTGAAGATAATTAGACACGTGATATCAGAGTTATTGTATTTTGTAGAGATTATAATTAACAATTATAAACATATAATAAATTAAAATTTATATTTAAAATATAATTAATGATTATTAATCAAATTGTATTTTCATTGGTTTCAAGCGTTTAGTCAATGCACATATTTCTTTTCATGTGTTGAATTTTTTATTTTCCTATTACTTGATGCTAATAAATTCTTTCTCTTGTTTACTATAAAGTGGCACCAAAGATCGATCGCAAGAATCTACAGAGGAAAGTTATGCGAGTGGGACAATTGTTACGAATCGAAGCAAATATACAAGGTGAACCACCACCACTCGTCACTTGGAAACTCAAGGATGCCGTGCTTAAGAGCATGGATCGCCTTAAGATTGAAAATGAAGATTATCACACCACTTTCATTATAAGCAAGCTGCAAAGATCAGATGGTGGTACTTATACTGTTATTGCCAAGAATGACAGCGGTACCGATCAGGTCGACGTTGAGATCCATGTATGTTAAAATTCTTACGTTACTTAATTTATTATCATTGTGTCACTTCGAAAAGTTTTGCAGTTTCGGTACATGTAATTTTTACAAACACAAGGATTTTATTCACTCGCTAGATATTCTAACGAACATTGGTAAAAAAAAAGAAAAATAAATGATAAGTTATTATTTCCCTCAGGTATTGAGCAAACCTGGCAAACCAAAGGGACCACTCGAAGTGTCAGACGTGACAGCAGAGGGATGTAAATTGAAATGGGAGAAACCCGATGACGATGGTGGCGAACCAGTCGATCATTATGTCATTGAAAGGATGGACGTTGATACCGGAAGATGGGTACCTTGTGCCACGAGCAAAACTCCAGAGGCCGATATCACTGGCCTTAATGAAGGCAAGGATTATATGTTCCGCGTGAAAGCTGTCAATTCTGAAGGTGAATCCGAACCATTGGAGACACCGATTCCAACCACTGCCAAGAATCCTTACAGTAAGTAGATGCATACTATTTTAATCCTCGATCTTTTTATAAATACATACTACCAAAAACTAAAATTAGAAAATATTATTAAAAAATTATTAGAAAATACTACTGAAAAAGAAAATATATGTGACGGGTAAAAATTTAAGATTATATACTTAATTATATTAGTTTAGTCCTTAGTAACTCTGAATTGAATCAAATATATATTAATATTCTCTGATAAACGCATAACTTTTTATTATTCTATATAAAAAAAATTACTATGTCTTGCTTATCATCATAATATTCTTGTATAATAATTTATCAATTAATATTATTATTAGTAGTTATAAATTGTAGATTATAAGCTTATCTTTCATAATTTTTTAACTTTGAGTCATCTAAAAATATTCGGATATCGACTTTCGAAATTATTGTCTTTTATTTGCTTCGAATTGTTTTTGAATTAATGAAAAAGTTTCTGTTACTTTACGTACAATATGTAGAATTTAATTTTTAAATTTCATGCTTCGTTACCAAACCGTTATCGTTCTCGTGAAGAGAGAGACTTGCAAAGTTTCATTGGTTATATTAATATTAGCATAGTGGTTAAAAACCTACAACAACATTCTTACTTTCTCTGACAATTTAATACAATTTCTACAATTTTTCTATTTCATCATAGCCGAGCCAGACGCTCCAGGCAAGCCAGATCTGAAAGATTGGTCCAAGCAGCACGTCGATCTAAAATGGAAAGCGCCGAAGAAAGATGGTGGAGCGCCGATCGAGAAGTACATAATCGAAAAGAAAGATCAATACGGCAAATGGCAGAAAGCTGCCGAAGTTCCTGGAAACAAAACAGAAGGCAGAGTCGAAGGCCTGATCGAAGGCCAGAAATATCAGTTCCGTGTGAAAGCCGTGAACAAAGGTGGTCAGAGCAAACCCAGCGAACCAAGCGACAGTCTAGTCGCCAAGGATCGTTACGCAGCACCAAAGATCGATCGTACGAACTTGAAGGACCTAACGATCAAAGCTGGCACTAACATTCGATTAGACGTGAAAGTTACAGGTGAACCACCACCAACGAAGACGTGGTACCTTAACAAAGTCAAACAAGAACCTGGTGGCGTGTTGAATGTCGAGATAGAAGATTACAGGACGAAATTTTTGGTATCATCAGCCAGCAGAGCTCATTGCGGCACGTTAACGTTGAAAGCAGAGAATAGCTCTGGAAAAGACGAAGCTTCGATAGAGATTTTGATCTTGGATAAACCTGGAAAACCAGAGGGTCCTCTGAAAGTGTCTGACGTGCACAAAGAGGGATGCACGCTGAAATGGAATCCACCTTTGGATGATGGTGGTACACCGTTGGATCATTATGTGGTTGAGAAAATGGATACTGAAACAGGAAGATGGATACCAGTGGGACGTACGAAAGAACCTACTATGGTGGTGGAGAATTTGGCACCTGGTCAGGAATACAAGTTCCGAGTTTCTGCTGTGAACGCTGAAGGTGAATCGGAACCTTTGGAAACTGACCATGGAATCGTTGCCAAGAATCCATTTGGTTAGTATTTAAATTTTTATTGATTTATAATATTGA